AACTTTCGACGGATTTGCACCAAAATTTACATGCAGATGCTCCAAGTTAATGGAAGGCCAAGACCGACTTTGCATTTCCCAACTCCCATCGATAGTGGAAATAATCGATTTTCTCATGCTGCTACGACAGTTTTCATGTAGTTTGCGGCCATTTTCTACTGGCCAGAGTGAGAGCCTATAGCTGGCTGCCACGAATATAGGAAGATTCTATTGGCCAGCGTGAGAATGCATGACTGACACGAATGTTAACTAAAATGCTAAAAAAAAAAAATAGCTGCATTCGTCACAAGTGGGAAAAATTTAAATCTGCATGGCACTTTACTCCAATTGGCTCATTCGCTTGCTTAAACTCAACGTTGATTCTGATTCCGCAGAACTGGGTTGGGTGTGAAAAAAAAATTTGTTGTTAACATTCTTTTTTCATTCGGTTTTTCCAGTTACGAGTCCTTTTTTTTTAAGCTGATCGGTTTTTGTTCATTTTGTTTAGTTCTTTTTTCGTAACAGATTTAATGTTTAGTACAGAGCTTAGAAAAATTCGCAGTGTGAGATAGGCAAGAAGTAAGGCATGTAGCAATATCAGCACGGCAAACGGCACTCCTTTAAATGTAAGGAAGGGCAAAAATATTTTAAGTCAAATGATAGAGATGGCCGTAAGTGTCGTACGATTTTTGAATCAAACACGGGCAACGCCGGGCCATGCTGCTAGTATTACATAAAAATTGAATAAATTTCGATTGTTAATATTTTACCTTTAATCCTTGCAACCCACGCAAGCTCTTAAATGTCACTTAGACGCAAGGGTTTTATGGGAGTGACAGCAACGATGAGGAAAATAAATGAACAGATTTCAAAGAGACGGAAAATAACGATTGACACTGGATATAAATCATTGAAAACGCCGGTTGATAGGAAAGCAAGAAGCCAGAAAAAAGTTCCACTGATATGAAGGCAAAGGAAATGTTAGCATACATCCTATGGTTACAACTAGCGATCTCAACAATGAAAATACGAAACGTACATTATAGTACGTAACTAAATTCATGAAGTGTACGTACGGAAAACGATATTATATTAGAGTCATTACCATTACAACATCTACAGAAAACAGCAAACTGAAGATATATTTCAGCGGTGAGAATATTACTGAAGCCAATCTTTCATTTGTTTTTTCTTAAGAATCACTAGATATAAAGAACAAGCAGCATTCAAAGAGGTGTCAATAATATACACTGACCAGAGGAATGGTAGAATGCAATTCTTGCTATTCAATTACGTGTCTTGATTTCTGGGCTCCAGTTTCCAACCCCTGTTAAGACAAACCTCAGATATTTAAAATTATGTAGTTGTTTGACCTTGAGATCCCAAATTTGCAGCTCGAAAATCGATATATTTCTTTTGTTGACCAATACATATTATATTTTTGAATGGCTGACAGGCCTTTCTTCTTGAATTTTTTTTTTATACGTTAACACGAAAGACCAGAAATATCTCTTCTGTCTCCGCCATCTTTAATGTTTTGAATGTGTTGTGTATTAGAAAATCTCACTGTTGAGATTTTAATTGCTTAGCATGAATCAATAATTCGTTTTCGTCCTACATAGTCAAAAGGCGCATTTCTTTGGTGTCAGTGATAATTTATTGGAACAATTAGTTATGAGTTAAGAAATTTATTGAGAATTTATGTACTATGATATATAACAGTTATTAATATTCATAATATTCAAAAATTAAATTGAGCGATTAGTGTAGCGATTCATAAATAAATTCTAATAAATGCGTATCTCGTATCGTTTAAGGAAACAGTCAATATTTGGCCGAGGAAGAAATAACTCATTTTATCGTTATGGGTATAGGACACTTTGCTGACTATCTGATTAAATAACATCTATTTTACTCCAGTATTTTTTTTTCATAAAATCTAAAAATTACGGAATTTTCAGCAGATATGCGGCAAAACTAAAAGCTGACCCAGTCTGCTAATTCTGAAAGGAAGTCCAGAAAAATTCTGATGAATATATATACTTCTGTGAAATTATTTTCTGTCTAGGGTTTCCGAATTCTTCCTTGCATTTCAGATCACGAATCCAATACATGCTGAGGAAATGAAGAGAAGAACACATGCTGTATACTATGGAAGTAACATTGTTACGAGTAGTCTTAAAAGAGATATTCAGATATATACACAAATATTCGTCTGGTCATATCCGTGCCCTCATGGATATTATCTGCACTATACTTGGTTCCATCTTTACGTAATATTTCCAGTTTTACGGACGAGTTTCTCTTTGTATATAGTATAGCATGCAAATTAGTAGATTTTTAATAATTTGGCTGTTTCTAACAGGAATTTAACTTCAGAAAAAAAACAATTTTATACAAAATATTAATATTTCAAGATAAAGTATATATTTAGAATTATACAGCATATATTTATATAGACTGATGTGATGTACCCTCTAAAGCTTTTATAGTGATTTTCAAAGAAAATATATAGATACCTGGACATCGATTTATTTAAGAACATATATGTTTTTTAGTTTCGCTTCGAGGTAACATCTTCGAGACAAAATTATGAGGCAATTCTGCCAGAAAGGGACAGTTTTCTGGGTGATAAACTTATCTAAGTGATTTTGAAGACCTCCAGGGAATTGGGGTGGACTCTCTGCACACCAAAATAAGTCGTGTCCTAAAACGAAAAGAAATCTTAGCTTAGGACAATGCGTGTAGCACGATATTCCCGCTAGGCTTTACCGGTTACAATCGAAGTGGCCACGAAATTGGAGGTTTCCCGATGACATAATAGAATATGACAACCTTCTGCCTGGCGAAATCTGAACGTTTTTTTCGTCGATTTTACATTTAATCGGTTCAGTTGGGAACGTTACTTATCTAAATTCCAAGTCAGATTCTGCTAAAAGTAATCCTAATACACAGATCCCTTAGAACACAGAGAGATAGAGAGCGTCATCCTCTACCGGTGATGGAATAAATATTCGTGTTTTTTTTCTTCACATCGTTGTAAACAATCCATTTACATCGCCTGTTATCATTTCCTTTTAAAGACGGCTTCGTGTTTGGTGGATTTATGCAGAAATTCAAAAATGGAAATGCAGTTCCTGATATTTTTCGTTAAATGTTCAGACAGCTATATTTCGTAGACATTTGTTCATTCTATTTTTTCTCAAATTATTATTATCCTTCCTCTTCTATCTATCTATCTATCTATATATATATATATATATATATATATATATATATATATATATATATATATATATAGAGAGAGAGAGATATAGATAGATAGATAGATAGATAGATAGATAGATAGATAGATAGATAGATAGATAGATAGATAGATAGATAGATAGATAGATGTTATAGCGAATTTTTTCAGTGGTGTTAGTATTAAGAAATTCATCGGTAAAATAGGAGAGCAAAATTTATTATATATATATATATATATATATATATATACTATACTGACAACATACTATTATAATTTTTATTATTATTATTATCAAAAAAATGGAAACTTCTACAGGGATAAAAAAGTCCCTTTGTCTTTAATTTATTTTTCTAAAAAGCGCACATCTTTCAAAATTTAGTTGATGCCTTGAGATCTCTAATATGTCCCCAAATTCTTAATCTATAGTGAATTTAAAGGAAAGCTTGAAAAGTTATTTTTGTTTAACTGATGTGCATTAAAATTTCCGCTTTTCCAAATCAGGTCTCTGCGAGCATTTGGCCATTGCTTATATTTTATGAGATATGTTTTTAGGAGAAAACAGTTATTTCCATTTCACCTGCATCCACAAAATATAATGTCATTGCATAAAACAATTTACTGTAAAGAGACAGGAAATTTCGTTTTTGTATTCGTCTTTTTACAAGCAGAAAGCTATTAGTTTCTGTCTTACAAGCTTTTATTTTCTAAAAGAATTATCATGATACAAGGTAAGTTTTCGCAACATGATCATTTTGCAATCATGTTTCTTTATTTTTATCAAAACCACTGAAGATTTATCTTAGAGACATATCTATGAAGGTTTGGAAATGCCTTTTAGATTTAGCAATATATTGCTGGGGATTAGATTATTATTTCTCTAGCAGATTCCTCGGATCCAATAAAGATAAAAAAAATATCGGAAAATAATTAAAGTGAAACTGTAAGACTTGGCAGCGAAATCTAGAATAATTATGACTAAAATATGTGACTCCCGTGGGGAAAAAAATCATAAGAATATTTTAAAATCTTATTTAAACGAAAACTCTTTTGCATTGTTTAATATGCAGTGTTTAAATGTATAGCCGTAGGGTAGGGTTAACCTTTCAAGCCCGTTGCATATTAATCACTTTTTGTGGACAATCTGTCAATTAAGTTAGAAAGCAGTGTGTTTGCGCTTGGATATATGAGAAAATGGGTATAGTGTGAAATTTCTTTGCACACCAGTAATTCAAATTCTGACAAAGAGACCAAAATGAGGCAGAGTTGCGGAAGGTAAGTCACAGAATTCTTTTCTTCTAAGACCAGAAAGTAGCACGTTGTCAAACGTTTGTGGATGTCGATGAGGATTATTTTGAGGACTAACAGTCCGTCATCTTTGCTGTATAGCTTATTTTTCTAATAAATAAGAAATCAGCAAGGGATTTTAAGTTTAACTAATCTATGTTAGTGATATTATATCAAGCTATAAGTGTCCACTTATAAAGTACAGCAGTTCTAAGAGTTTACAAAGGAAAGTGCATTTGAAAATAAACTAGTATTTGGTAGCAATATGAAATTATAAGTGAGAGAAAAAATAAATCTCGGAAAAAAAAATAACACCGGTATTTCTGTCTATTTTTTTTTTCTCATTGTTTTCAAAATTTCCAACGTTAATGTTTCATATCTGGATTTATAATTATTAATAAATTGTCTAAACTTCCTTATTTTGTTTCTGTGAAAATAGAAAATAATCCAATATGACAAATGAAAAATATCATTGGACACTTCATTAAGAATGTTATTCCCTCTCTGTGTTACATCATCCAGAAATTGTACATATGCTAAACAGTCGGTTTTATTTGGTAAAACCTGTTTCATTATCTATCTATCTATCTATCTATCATCTATCTATCAATCTATCTATCTATCTATCTATCTATCTATCTATCTATCTATCGTAGGAAACTCATATCTTTCAGCCAGTTCTTTATCTATCTATCTATCTATCTATCTATCTATCTATCTATCGTAGTCTGTTCATATGTATGTATCTGTCAGTTTCTTATCTATCTATCTATCTATCTATCGTAGTCTGTTCATATGTATGTATCTGTCAGTTTCTTATCTATCTATCTATCTATCTATCTATCTATCTATCTATCGTAGGAAGCTCATATCTTTCAGACAGTTCTTTATCTATCTATTTATCTATCTATCTATCTATCGTAGTCTGCTCATACCTCTCAGTCAGTGCTTTTTCTATCTATCTATCTATCTATCTATCTATCTATCGATCATTTCTCATCTATCTATCGTAGTCTGCTCATATCTCTCAGTCAGTGCTTTTTCTATCTATCTATCTATCTATCTATCTGTCTATCTATCTATCTATCTATCTATCTATCGTAGTCTGTTCATATGTATCTGTCAGTTTCTTATCTATCTATCTATCTATCTATCGTAGTCTGTTCATATGTATGTATCTGTTAGTTTCTTATCTATCTATCTATCTATCTATCTATCTATCGTAGTCTGTTCATATGTATGTAGTCTGTCAGTTTCATATGTATGTATCTATCTATCTCTTATCTATCTATCTATCTATCTATCTATCTATCTATCCACAACATTCATTTCTTAGAAAATACCATAAAGTATATAATCTTTGTATATTTTAATGTAAAAAATCAACCTTCAATAAATAAAAGGTATTTTGCTTTTATTTTGACTAAGAATATAACTACATATCCAAAAAAAATGTATTACACAAATGCATCATATATTCTTTGTGTTAGTAAAATCACCAGAAATACGTAGCCAGAGTTGAAATCATTGATAATAAGCTGATCCATGAGAAAGACTAAAAAATAAAATTCCTCGCAACTTTTTCTCTTTTTAGCTACAAAAAATAAATGAATTGCCTTATTATAAGTGAACTTAATGCGGGAAACACGTATTAACCTTGATTAATATATGCACGTAATTTTCCAGCAGTCAGAAATGACAGCTAACTGATAACACTGCTAATATTTGATTTCTTTTCATACCTTCCTTCTTTTATGTTTTTCAAAGTGAATAATACATTTTAAAAACGAGAAGCTACTTGCGAGAAGGAACTGAATGATTCAATAAGTATATAAAAGATGGTAACGTACAATTCCTGGTCACTGTTTTAACGAAAATCTTTTTTTTAATTTAATTTACTCGACGGTATTCTTAAGAAAACATTGGATCAATAAAAGTAAATGTTAGATTTACTAAACTCAGAAGTTTATTGGTTAATAAATATATTCACCAATTTTTTAAATTCTATTTTTAGAAGGGAAAATATTGTGAAGCAATTTGTAGAGTGATAACTAAATTATTGTAGCAAACAAAAGAGAGATGTTCATCTACTTTGTGACAGCTTGATTCTCGTCAGTGATTGGTAAATGAATGATTATACGGAAATTTCAAATTGGAGCTCATATGAACCTACTTTGCAGAAAAATGATTCGATTTGTGGGTGATCCCATCTCCTCAAAAACTTAAAACTTTTGACTTTTTCTAGAAACTATAATACTCACTTACACATACACATACACGTACATATATATGTATACATACACACACACACACACACACACATATATATATATATACTATTAAGAAAAACAGATTGTATACTGTTCAATGCACATGATTGAGTTGAGATTGTTTTCAACATGTAAACACGGGGGGATTTACTAAAACACATGTCTAATAACAGACTAAACTATTGAAGCAATTCTTAATAACGACCGCAGCTGACTGTTGAAAGTATTCGCATAGATGCAGTAAATATATATATATATGACATACATAAACAAAAAAAATTGCGTATATATAAATTAACATAGCATGATGACTCCGGTTCCATGCTTCAAGCGAGAATACGGCAAAATTGTTGATGTATTCAATTCTTTTACGCATGATAATGAAATTCTTCCATTCATAAGTATAGCTAAATCTCATCGACACTCCTATATAAGCATGAACACACATGCATATACATGTCATATACATATAACGTACATAATATGGGTATATATAAATATATACTATATATGTAAAATATATAAATTGCATATATATATATATATATGTTTTTTACACACACACATACACACACATATATGTATGTATATATATATATATATATATATATATATATATATATATATATATATATATATATTGATCTTTTGTATTATATTTCAATTACATTCTCATTATGACTAACAGCAGGGGTTAGGACAATATGTAGCGAATCTCATCAAATGTCAATCTGTTTTATATTAGTTTTTAATTTCACTAGGCTCAAAATTATATCTGAAAACTGAAGCAGCAATTTTGCATTTCTATTAAGATGCATTTCATTCTAATTTGATTATGTTTGAGGTGAAAAGTAAAAGAACATATAAACATCGAATGTTTTTTTCTCATCAAATAACAGAAAATGATATAGACGCTTCCATAATAATCAATTTCGTAATATCCATGCATTAACATGTGCCAGTAATATACCTGAGTTTGTAAACTTATTCATCCTGATATAATGAATCACTTCACGACCCTCACCGAGCTAATATATGTTTTCTGAATTTGTGAAAGCGTTGTCTAACTTTAACCGGTGTATAAGAGGATACACAAGCAGAGGTATTCTATTGCCTGAGAATGTGTTAATTCCAGCCCTCCTTTTCTTTTGCCTTCAAGGTCGTGTGTCTAAATTCTTGCCTTTTCAGTATTGATGGCCACTATAAATTTAATCATTTTACAATGACTTGTCTGCGCATTTCTCTTGGTCTCCTCGAAAGACTTTTTTCCTATCGCATTCAGTCTTTCTTCTTAATATGACATCCATGAAAAATCAGTTTAATGCCTGTTTGTGAAATTTTGTTCCATATTTTAAAAGAAATTTATAAAGTCCTCTAAGAAATATTTTTATAGCCCCTGCTGAAAAAGAAACATCCTTTTCACAAGTCTCTTACGGCAGGATGCCAAATTAAAAAGTGGTAAATTCATAAATACATTTAATTAGTGTGCATGATTGATGCACAATTGTACAATCAAGGAAGACGTTCGAAATATTAGCCTAAATGTTCAACACGAAGTTAAACAGGAAGCAGTAGCTTTGTGGATAGTGGCAAGTGGATTATCATTCTAAACTCCAGTTAATTTCCACTTCAATGAATGAATATCACGATGTCCCAACCATGGCTTTGCGTGTGAATTAGCAACATACTTCAGATACTGCAATCCATAACATTCAGATCTGGCATTTTAGACAACCATTGAGTTGGTGTATTTTCCCAAAGAATACATCTTCCGCCTTTTCATCAGACACTCTGTATATTAGATTAATAACTCATCTTTTTGTTTATTAGCATAAGATTCGTTATTAAATATATATATATATATATATATATATATATATATATATATATATATATATATATATAATATTTTCTGCATTTTTAGTAACTTGATTATGGTTAAATTAATATATTTGGAGATGAATCTTTTAAAATTACTACATAGCAAAAATCGTAGATATAACATGCATATCAATATTATTTAATAAAAATGCTACACTTTGTTAAAAATAAGAATCCCGATTGTACTTTTTAAATTTTGCTTTGTGAAAATGGTTTCCGGAAACGTTCTTGCAGTAGAGAAGAATTTGCACATCGGAAATTTTGAACTTTACGCATTTCTTTGCAGATTGTATATTGTGCAGCTCAGTAATTTGTCAATATCTTTTCGAAGATTAAAGTACATATGTGCTGCAGAATTAGTGCTAATCAATATTAAATTAAAATCTCTTTTGAATAATTAGATCGAGGTTTATTATCCCGTCCTATGCAACTTAAAGATGAGAGCGTTCTTTTACTGAAGGTTAAGCAATATTGATATATTATGAGTTTATAAAGATGAAACAATGCCTTGTTAGTATGGTCAAGCAAATAGTTACTGGTAATTATTAAGAAAATGTACACTAGTTTGGAATGAAAAGTTTGAGCCATGGCGTGTAAATTGGGATTTATTTCTGAGGTTGCAAATTCATTTTAAATGCCTGATGCACGTAACTTACATTCAGTGTGTCAATATATTGATATGTTAGCATCGCATGAAAAATAAATTCACATAATATTTTACATAGTTGGTTATATATGGCTTAAGATGGCTTACCAGTTTACCCGTTTATGGGAAAATGTGCATGTTGCAGCAAAAGGAAAAATATTTATGACAGTTGTATCTCATTTAAATCAATCTCTCTACATATATTGATAAATTACCGCTTAATACATTGAAAATCAAAGATCGCCCCACTACTACCCCAAGCCACAGCAGAAAATAATGTACTCCTTCTGCTTAGTATAAAACAAGAACTAAACTGGCATACGGCAGCATTCTGATTACCATTCTCCCACGGATCTATCATTGCCGGAACTTTAGACGACAGCATCTAAATTCGAGTCCATTAAATCAACAAAATCATTTATCCTATATAAAATGTAAGGTGGTTTTATCACGACAGAAATTTCTAGATTATATTTTACATTATTTTAGCTAATGTGGAAGAAATCTTCTGATCAGTCAAATATTCCAGTTAAACTCACACTTCTGTTACAAGTAATTTGGATAGCTTTTCTTTTTTCATGATTTAAATAAGTTAAGATGCGTGTTCTTAATACTGCTAACTAGTAGACATATAGCCCTATGCGAGTATTGATATAAAAGTCCGCGCATATCTGGGCTGAGTCAAGCTAACATAATGTCAAATACTTTAAAATATAATCAGAAATGAATGTCTACATTTTTATGTGCCGTAACACTTCAAGATTTTGGCGATCATGTCTCTCACAATATTCTGTGATTTGTAGCTCTTAAAAAATGTTATCTTTTTGTTATCATTCCAAAACTCTGTTCTGTCATTCATTTAATAGAGCCCACTCGGTATGATCTGCATTGATTTCCTCTGTCCCTCTTACATTCAATCTGTCATGTGAGTATGAAATTTTCCAAGCTTTCTTTCCTCATTATGTGTCCTAGAATGTTCAAACTTCTCTTCCTAGTGTTAAGTATACTTCCTGTTTTCATGCTATCTAAAACTTTGTCGCTACTGACATGTTCGGTCCATGGTATTTATTCTCAGAATCTTTCTGATAAACCACATTTCTGTGGATTCAAGCCACTTCTTCATCTGTGAGGTGATTGTGCAATACATTGGAGTACTAATATTGTACAATGGTTTAGTATTTTTTTTTCATTGTTTTTACGATAAATAAAGAAAATAATGTGTCCCATATAAAAAATAACGTCGTTTCATCACGACAGATATTATAAACCTAACATCTAATTTGAATCATTCCGATCAGTCTAATATTTATATTAAACTCACTCTTCACGTTCCTAGAAATTAGGATATATTATCGTAATCTTTATTTTACATATGTTACTATTTCTTATCTCAAAAATACCAACTAGTAGAACAATTTAGTGTCAGTGTGGATGCAGGTCAAAAAGCGGGTCTCTTCCCAAAACTACTGTAAGAGGCTGTTCGAAAATGCAGGAAATATAATAGTTTAAACGAGGTAACGTAGGGCCGGTCTTGCCCGT